GTTGGACTCCCTGACCATAGGAAAACTAGTCCTGGGAATTCCCCGTGTTTGTATCGCAGCAAGCATTGTTTCCCAGAAGCATGCCCAACAAGTTTGTGTCATTCATTCGCGCTGGCTTTGCCCGACCGAGTCGGGCTGTGGGAGATGGCATGGGATATAAATGGTTGATGGTGTTTGCACGTGTTTTCATCTTTTTGTTTGTGGGTCCCTTCATTTTCAGCAGCTGGATACGAACTTCCGGGAGACTTCTTCTGATCAAGTGTTCAGTCACTACCGCATTGGTGCCTCACCTCAGGGGCGCGTGTGTTGTTTGTACTTCTCTAAGGAGAATCGAGTTTCAGGCTTTAGAGTCTCTCAGTTTTGACAGCCCTGTGTGTTCATGTTAACCCAACTGGCCATCATGGCTTTGGCCAGTATTTGAGTCAATAGTCACTGTGAGGATCCTCCTCCTCCTCCTCCTCCTCCTCCTCCTCCTCCTCCTCGCTGTCGTCCTTGTTATCGTCATCGTGATTGTCACCGCTATCTCCATCGTCCGTTCTTGTCCTCCACATTGGTTTCATCGTCATCATCATCGTCGTCATTGTTATCATTAGCAGTCGGGTTATGTTCAGGGTCACCGTCATCAGCATCGTCATGCACTATGTGAGATGACCTGGGACACACTCACCAAACTGCCTTGAGAATACATGAAGGTGTATTCGTTTGAGGGTGCCACTTTTCTTGTTGGCTTCAAAGAGCACCACGAGATACTACGAGTAAAGTTGTCATTTTTGCAGCGTCCCCTAGTTTGACCCATATCCATATTTATGAGCAACCCTAAATGGGAAGGAGCAGGGCATGGCTATGTTGGAGCCCATTGCACATTTGCATGCTCAGGAAGCAGGGAGGCTGGCTGCTTGCTTGCTGCGACTGATGAGAAGTCAGGGCCCAGTTTTGCCATTATGCCTTCTTTTAGTGATTGGCTCAACAATCCCCTGAACGGTTCAAGAGGTCTGTGTTTGCTTCACTCGGGTGCTTTGATTTGTTGAACCTGGCCGAGCCCCTTTGTTTGTTCTTGCGATATGTACTAGTTTGTGTTGTTTTGTTTTTGTTCCTTCTCTCGACTCAAATCACAAAACAACCTGGCTCGTTGCTCCGCCCAACGTATCTCCTAACGGATTCGAGGCCAGGCCCGAACTTTTTCGGGTTAGCTGATCGGCTCGCAACCGGCAGGCGCGGGCTTTCCAGCTTCAACAGATGGGCAGTGCCCCGAAACCCAACTGCCGGCAAACGCCCCCACAAGTCTGAAGGAGACTAAGCGAAACTCGACCTCACAGATATGTCATATATTACATGTATATATATATATATATACATACATGTAGGTTGTTCAACAACTTGTGACCACGGGTCTACAAGAAAACATGTGTTTCGTCTCTTTATCGCCTCAACTTCAAGCAACATGGAGAGAGTGCCATCACCAGCTTGGCCTTGTCACCTTACTTCTCGTGGGAAAATGACAGGTTTCCACGCACTTTTCGGGCGAGCACCTAAAAAGGCAACGGCAAATCAACGTAGAGTTGTTTTCTTAAGGGCTCCTTTAGACAAAGCCCCTACATAGGAGAGGAGCCCCACATTTTCATAAGGAGTCCTTTATAAACCACCCGAAGGATGCTGGGGCGTCATATCAAAGATTCGCAAGGCCTTTCTTATGACACGCCACGGGGCATTGTTGTTCTCGGAATCAGCCATGGTGAGGGCTTGAAGTCATTGGGTGCAGAAGCCTAATTTAAACCACTCTGTTGTGCAAGTGAAAAACGACCTCGCAAGAGGCGGTTTAGACGTTGGGGCCTAGGATGAAGGTTCCTTTTGAGAGCACCGCCCCTTTTTCCACTGGTTGGGTGTAGAAATAGAGGAGATAGCTCCAGGTCAGCCCGAAGGGACTGGCTCCAGACAGACGGTCGCAAACTGACCGACCTGTGAATCATCACAATTCAAGCGGAATCTAAATTGACCACTAAGGCAGGCTAGGAAATCTTTCGTTCCATGGGGCCTCGTCTAGAAGAACAATCGGGATGTTTCTGACATATATATATATACATACATGTATCATATGTCAATGTTTTACTCCCCCAAACTCGTTGTTTGTCTATGGCCAGGGTTTGGGGCGCTGCTTTTTCCGCTCGGGCGGGCTCTGTTTAGTCACCGCCTGCCCGAGCCGAACCCTTCCGAATGCCTCAGATGCCCACAGGTCACAATGTTTTTCTTTGGTTTTTTTTCTCCCCCAGAATGACACGGCCAACAAAAACAAAGACCCCCGCTTTGATCCAAGCTCTTTAGATTGCGTGAGGCATTCCGAAGGTTGGGGGCTTCCTTCCTTAGCCCTGGCAAATCGCAGGATCTGTGCTCAGCTTGCTTTGAAGTGCCCTGAAGACGGCGAGGTTTTGGGAAAAAACCATCAGCTGATTCAGCGGCAGATCCTGCTCACGCGCCTGGCTGTGCAGATAAGCCTTTCGCACCCAGCACTTGATTCGTCCCATTGCCAAACCGCATGGTATCCTCTGTTGCCCACTGGCGCCCTTTTTTCAACTTTTTTGGGGAAGGGTTCCCCTTTGAACTCACCAACAAAAAAAGGGTGCCCTTTTTTCCCATGGCCACTGGGCATTACCCAAAATGACACCCTGGCAAATAGAACCAAGGACTACAATCTGCGGTCGCCTGGTGGTGAAATTTTGACCCATACTCATATCTTTCCCTTCAACAATGATGATTAAACATGATCAAACGACGTCTAAATCCTAGGTTCAGGGTTGAGTGCTGACTGCGACCCGAGTGCTTCATCAGGGCTTCCTATGTTCCCGTTTTGCTTGCTTTAAACATCTTTTGGAAAGCGAGAGGTTTCCTTTTGCCGGGGTCATGTTTGGGGTAAGTATTGTTTTATTTGGCCGGAATAGTGGTTGCATGCCGTTATGTTGCCGTGGGTGGCTTGAGTGTGGCAACCCCCGTGGATTCTCGTACACAAGCACGTTCCGGCAAACAGGTTCCAGCTTGCGCATTTCTTTCGAGGGTCACCCGCTTTTCGGGGGTTTCGCGGACCATTTCGTGCTAGGGTCTGCCTGACGCCTTTTTCTATGTGGCTCTATGATATGTTTGGATGTTTTTGGTAGCAAGTAACAACCATGCTTTAAGATGTTTTTGGCAACCTGTCGGGCGTGGCAGTGCCTGTTTGGTCACCCTCAGATGTTTCCACACTTGGATCAGGGGAGGTCATTGCCATTTTTGTGCTGAGCTATTAGATAGCTAGCATGGAACACAACCCCCAACAAAACACGTGCATGCCATGGCTGAGCACAGATCAGTATGTGGGAATGTGCCAACTTTAGCATTACGCGCATGTGCAAGTTGTTGATGTTGTTGGTTGTTTGTTCTGGCGTAAGTTTCAACTGCCCCCTGATTTCCAGACATGTGCTGATGTTTCATTATCAGAAGACAGTAAACCCTACACCTGGACTTGTTTTGAGACTACGTTTAGGGACAGACTCGATTGTGGGTGCAGGAAGATATCGCCCCATCTTTTCTCGCCCAGAAGCAGGCGTCCAAAAAGGCGCAAGGGGTCCGAGGGCGCTTGCTTGCCTGCTTGCTTTGTAACTGATGTTCCACTTTTGCAGTCGAGGTCATGACAGTAGATATGGACTATCAGGCTTTTGCTAGCACTTACTGGATCTTGTTGGGGTGCGATTCAATCCCGAAAGTTCTTCTTTGTGCATGATTCAGCCGAAAGCCAAATGCAAACTGCCCTCTGAAAGCTCTCATTTGTTGAGACGTACTCAACATATGTGTATTCATTGCGAGACTTTGCTCACCGCTGTATACTTGTTTAAAGGTTTCAGCGGTTTTCCCAAGACTAGCAACGTGTGTCGTTTGTAGCTGACCCAGGTCCGGCCGTTTTCGGTTGGAACTTGGAGAGGCTACTGAGTTACTGGCCGAAAGTCATGAACTGTTATGTTCCACTGATTTTGAGGAAGCAATAACCCAATGCCTAGTTGCTTCGAAAAGCTACTGTCCGAGGACAGGTGGTAGAGTCATGAAGGCTCCTTTGTTTGAGGGGGAACTCACATTTAAGAGAGCCATGTGCACAGATTTTGGATATCCGCTGTAGATATTTCCGCGCCAATTCCACCCGAAAAGTGGGCACCTCCGTGTTCAGCAGCCGTGGCTGGATCTTGAACCGAGTATGTCTTGGGGAATCATGCGGAGTTTCTCACCAACCAACAAGAGTCTTAGTTAAACTTTTGTGCAGGGGACATATAGCCATAAACTCCTTTGTGAAGGGTTTCCTCGCACCTTCCGGAATCCTCAGATTCTCTCGTTGGCCTGTTGTTTAACAACCCCCGGACTTCCCGTGCTTCCCTTTCTTTTTTCTCGAGAGCTACCTGCAGCAACGCCAACAACCTCTCTCCAAAAGTGCAGTGCCTGTCAGCCGGCGTAAATTGGGGGATTTAGTGGTCCTGGGTTGCAACAGACAGAGCCAAACAGCTGAACTTGTGCCCAGAGCCAGATGGGGTTTACTCCTTTGCAACGTGTCGTCCAAACATGGGTCCCCTCAAAAAGCCGTTCCTCTAAACATGATGCTTTGTGTGTGTGGTTCCATGTTTCTCTGCAGAAGAGCAAGCTCCCATCAAAGAAGAGTCACCTTGTTTCAGTGGTCAAATTCCATATCAATGGGTGTTGGGTCTAAATCTATATCATCCTTTGTCAGCAGGAAGTGTCCAATGCGGAAGCTCATTCGTGGTCGGAGATGGGCTGACCGCCACGCTTGCGCCAATTTTGCAACCGACTTCAGCTGTGCTCAGACCAGAGCCATCAAGTAATACGTCAACGGCTGGATTTATCGAAGCCCACATCCCAAGTCGCGAAAGACTTGACATGTCCTTGACTGATATTTCTGCATGCGGAAAATCACGCCCATCTGAATGCAACATCTTCAAGGTCCTTTGCCCCCCCAATTTGCGGCTCACAAAGTGGCCAGTTCTGGGGGTTGCTGCTCCGGTTTCGTGTTCGCGAATCCCTTGACCATGGACACGGAGCCCTTGAGCCAGTTCGCACTGGCCTCAGCTCCCAAGCGGTGCGCGGCTTGCGACACGAGCCCACCGATTCGGGAGAAAACGGAGCTCGTGTGCTGTTCCTTACATGGGGATCCAACCTATTTCACGCTAACGGGGTGTAATTTCTCCAGATACTCCCCTGCAAATTGACATGGAATCCCAAAAAGGCATCCTGTTTAGAGGGAACTCCTTTAGGGGGGGGGCCGCCTTTTGGGGTTCCATGTCAGGGGAGTATCAGGTGTCCCCGTTTAGGCTGGTATTCTTCCGTCCTTGCCAGGGCTGGTTTTGGGCGTGTCTTCTTCAGTGCGCATCAAGGTTCGGAACAAAGACACCTCCCAAGCTTTTTTCCAGGTATCTTGCAGATGCTGTACTGTTGTTGCTCACATGTTGGGATCGCTCGATGCGCTCCTGTGGTTGCAACCAAGCAAAATATCAGATCATATTTGTTAACGCGCACCCATGGTTCCCTGATGGCGTTAAACAGGCCCTACGCCCCCCCGATCCTCCGAACTTGCCCCCATGGTCAGGGGTCCTTTGTTCCCTGTTTGGGCACCGGTCGTTCTATGGCCCAAGGTTTTCCCTTTTGTGTTTGTTGGGATCCTTCTATTGAAAATACAGTAGTGACCCCCGAACAAGGTTCCAACTGTTTTGTAGCGTCAAAGTTTCACACCCAGATCAGGGGTTCCCATGTATTGAGTCCTTCAGTCCCCATACCCTTTTGCCCGGCGTAAACCATGGCACCCGCTACGTCACCCACTGATCCGTGGTTAGCATTGGTCGGCTTGGGCTCGAACTCAAATGAACAGGAACTTTGTTGAGCCCGTTTGTCCAACCCCTCTCCGGTGCTGTTTCTTTCCACCGCAGATAGCCGCCATTTGAACAGTGTCAAAAAGACCACTCCAACTGTTTGCCTACTCATTGCTAGTATGCAAAATAGTAACACTGATTGGGGCCGTGTCGAAATGAATCATTTTGTTTGTTGCTGTTGCTTTCTTAATGGAGAAGAAGGAAGCCGAAGAGCAGCCTGGAGGATTACCCTTGAGCACGCATCCGTATTTGGTTTGACACCCATGGGAGCCAAAGAGCCAGGTTGCCATTCGTAGACGAACCCCCGTGGGTTGATGCTCGGTTTTGTTTTTTGTTGTTGCTTTTTATACTGTTTGTCGGGTTTGGTTGCAACGAAACACGCATGGACTGGATAGATTGGACCGGGAGTTGCGCTTTTCTGGCTCCTGGAGTTTCGGGCTGGTTCCCAGCCGCTTGATTTCTGGAACGTGAGCATTGTCCTAAACTTGGACGGACCTTTCTTGGACGGTATTCACAGGGAGGCCGAAAGCAAGCCAACTATTGAACGGGCATGAGCAATTGCTAGTTTGTCCAAAGCTGACCTTTTGAGTTTTGACTGTTTGGTTGTGCCAATGTTGGTCCATGATAATTTGGGTATGCATCAAATGCGCCTACCCCGAAGAAAAGTGTTCGTTGTGTGCCCTGTAAACCCGCCCCAAAAGAGTCACCCTCAAAAACCACCCCCAACTACGGAACCCAACACACCCATCCGTTTGGCATGTGTCCATAGGTTGGCCATGTTTCCAGGGCAGCCCTGAAAAAACGCACTGCCCCCAGGTTTTGATTCCGGGCCAGCTCTCAAATCCGTAGGTCATCCTGGCGCAGAACGCCCAGGGCCGCGCCTGTGAGGCTTCGTTCCTGGAGCCGCGACCCCGTGATGTCTACCCAAAAGTAAGGTCGGTGACCCCATTTTCTAAGGGGCCACGGCGGCAGGACTTCATATGGGCAAGGGTCAAAACACGCCATGAAGAGTTCTGTACTTTGGCCGCCATGACATGACCAAAATGTTTAACACCATGTAGTAAGCGTGAGAAGCGACATTCCTGTTTGGGGCTAGCCGGATTCTGAATGATGAGTTGCATGTGCGGGAAGCCCCTGTTGTCGGGAAGAATCCGGCCGCCGGAGCGACACCCGGAGCGATACCTTTCAGATCATGGAGCGACACCCATGGCCCCTTTAAGTAGGCAGTTATTGGGGACTATAGCGCGGCCCGGTGTGGCCCATACAGGCATTTACAACTGGGTTGGTACTGTAGAACCAGAGGTCAACTGACCGATATGTTGACTATCAGCTTTGCCATTTGGGAAGGCCATCCCCTGTCAACTGTTGCTGCGCTGGCATGTTCTTTTTGGCAAGCGGATCTGTTGCGTCCCCCCCTCATTTGAGATGGATTGACAGAACTTCTTATTTGTGATGCCCGCGCTTACCAACTTGAATGGATGCGGGAGGTAGCAACTGCATAGGGATTTGGTCGATGAATAACGTGCTTATCCCAAAAAAACGATGGTTGAGTTTTGGGGCGTCCAAAAATCGGTAGAGTGTCACTCCCGCACTGCTAAAAACGACTAAGTACTTGATTCCCCCCACTCCCTGACTTCCTGGACTTGATACTTTTTGGGTCTGGACCTTTGTGGCCAAACAGTTTGGACATGTTTTGGCCAGCTGCGCTCAGGCTTCTGTCAGAAAGAGCGTTCATCAAAGCGATCATTTGCGTGCCGGACGTGTCCAACGCTCATATTTTTTAGACGTGTTGCCTTTTCGGGTTTCCACTTAAGAGCCTTCTTGGAATTCCCAGCATTTTGGTGTTCTCTCAGTTTTGTGACCCCTTAACGTGTAAAAGGATTGAGACAACGTGTTAGGGCTTGAAAACAACGGGTACGGCAAGATATTTGAAACAGAGAAGAAGCAGAGCTCTCCACTTCCCCCAGACGCCCCACTTCGTTTTTTTTCTTATCCAAAATCTTTCTTTACTGTCTTTGGAGCTGCAACATGCACCTACTACAACCCAAACAACCCAACTACTTGTGCAAGAGAAACGAACCCAACTACAGCACTTGCAGCACAAGGCAATTGCTGCCATCCTCTGCAGAAGTACACAAGACTAGACTACGGATTCACAGACAGAACTTTGTAGTTCACCTTGTAAGTGGTTTGGAATTTGTTTAATCGGGAGGTAGTAGTTCTGTTGTGTGGACATCATGAGGGAGATGTAGTCGCTTGTGAAATCCAGAAAAATCCTGAAGTGAGGTACCTTAGAAGTAGTGGTTTTTTATTGGTGTTGTTGCTGGTTGTAATTTGGAGTAAAGAGACACACTCACTTACACAAACCAGGGACTACAACAGATCTTTGGTGGAAACTGGTGACTACGCCGTCAGAGTGCATAAACGTTCACACCATAGCAGTCAGCGGTTGCCCAATACATGAAAAAAAATGATGATTGTGATTGGATTAGCGACCATCCCATCCCATCACCACCACCAAGCGCGCTTGGCTCGCCAGGCGTTGGTGCGACAGGCCCTGGACCATGCAGGCGTTTTCGTCTTCGGAGAGCTGCTGGAGTGCGCCAACGTGCAGGCCGAAGACGGGAAACTTTGTTTTGTTTCAAAGCAATATTTGGGGATGGGACAGAATGAAACCACCAGAGGGCAGGTTTCAGTCCTTGGTTCCATTTGCCAGCGTTTCATTCTGGCCACCTATTTTTGACCCAAAGCCGTTTGGGCGGGTCGTTTTGAGGGGACCCCGCAAAATGGTGGTTGTCCTTTTAATTTCCCTTGAAAACGACCAAACAAGGGGTACCCTGAAAAAAAACTCGTTTGATCCCCAGCTCGGAAACAGCATGCAGATCTGATCCATGTGAGGCAGGCTCCATGTTTTGGGTGACAAAAGCAATTTTGGCGCACCATGCTTAGAGGCGTCAGTTTTCAGGGATCATATTTCAGGGCTCCCATGTGTGGCTCCAATCATGGGAACCGACCGCTCTTCAGGTTTTCGGGAAACGCAAAAGGAAGCCACCCCATCCCTACACGCCCACGCCTTCTGTTTAGGGGTCAACAACTATCATATTTAGGGACTTGGGCTCCTATAGGTGGGGAAGCTAAGCTTTAGCATGGGCTCCTTTGGGAATCCGCTTTTGGATGAACAAACAAACAAAGAAACAGAGTGGTTTGAACCCCCGCGGAACCAAGAAAAGCCTTGCTCAAACGCCAGGTTTTTTTTGGGGGGCAAACAGCCACGCTTACACACAGAGAGCAACTAGCAGGTTTAAGAATCTTGCGTGTGAAAAGCATCCGAGAACCCAGCTTTTAGATCCCGGGAGCGACGAGAGGAACGTTCAGGGCACTGGCTTCCACTTCTTATTTGACGGGCATCAAGGCAATCACATTCTGCCCGAAGCTACGGCTTCCAAGCCAGGCTCTTTTGACGACAGCTCGCGCGCTGCCGTTTCGAACATGTCTTATGCAAAAGAAGCAATCGCGCTCTTGGCCAAGATAGAGGGAACATTGCAAGTGCACTTGCCGCCACAATGCTGCGCATGCCATCTTGTGGATGACCTCTGTCAGGCTTGTGAAGTCAATCCAAGCAGCTACGTCAATTTGCTTCTTTCGTGGCGTCAAAAAAAAACTACTCGTTGCCTAGGCCTACTAGGCGCTCTTGTTGCACATTGAGAGCAGAGGAAGATGTCAAACTGAACGAGAAACCTTTGGAGCAGTTACAAAATGGGAAGTTTGGAGACTTGCTTGTGCGATTTGAGAAAAAATGCAGGGTATGCTTGGATTGCATGACCCTCCGGCAAAATGGCTGTTTCTCAGTCATGTTTTTTCTGCGATTGATCGGCTGCTAGAAGTCGGCCGCTTGGTGGCCTTTGATTCTGTGTGGTCCTTCAGTACCCCCGTTTGGCCATCTCATTTCTTTGCCGGATTGAACAGTTTGGTTACGGGTCCGACAAGGAGACCCTTGGACCATAGTCTAACGCCCTTGCAACAAAGAAGTCAAGAAGGGGCTTCTCACTCTCAGAGAGCGCATTGATCGAAACAAGTCCCACACTATCCCACACTTGTTGTTTGCCACTATCATGATCTTCCCGAAAAGTTCCAAACTTCAGAAGCTGGGGAATAGCACGATTGGGCACGACGCAAACCAACAGTGCTGGAACCAGCGGGTCCACCAGCTCTCTCTCGTGGCTAGCGAGTCAGCCAAGGCAGGACCTCTCTATGCTAGAACAAAGCGGAGTTAACTGGCTAGACAAGAACAGTGCCCTTGACTCTGAGATCCCCTTGCAACAAAATGCTCTGATTCATTTGACTTCCAACTAAACCAACCCTGAACTCACTGACACGGATCAGCAACCAGCTCGGGAAATCACTCAGGGAAACCCTTTTAAAGTGAACTAATGGTAATCCCAACCATCTTGCATGGGGTTACCTCATATTCAATTGTTGCCAGGTGGGGAACCAATCATCCATTGCGCAACAGGCGAAAAAAGGATATGTCTCGTAAACAAAAGGAACATCTCGTGTTACCAGGTGGGGAACTATTCATTGTTCCACTGCCGGACAAAAACCAAAAAACATATGTATGGTAAACAAAAAAAACAAGGCACAAAGCCATGGAACCCATGGAATCCCAGAACCCATGGAACTCATTGACTCATTCTTCATTTTTCTGGGACCCATGGACTCAAGTGCCTGTGACGCAAACGGCCAGGCCCTGCAGGGCACGGAGTTCCAGCCGGCCCTGGAGCTTCTTCGGCTCTTCGCCTTCGGGAGCTACCCCGACTACAAGGCTCGCCCGCGTCGTTTCAGCCGGGGCGGGTGGGCTCACCCCATGGGTTTGGCGGTAAACGAAATCCAGGGGACCAGAGTTCTGGTAGCTAAGGGACGTCAGGACTCCACCCCATTTGCGAGGTACACCAATGTCCACTAAAGTCAAGCAAAGGCAAAGTTGGACTTCTGTGTTTGGGGGGTTGCGGCCAAACATCAACTGGGCGTTTCCTACAACGGGATTCCCCTTTTTGGATGCTTGTCGGAAACCAGGAAAAAGGACATCTTTCGAGAACCCCCCCCCGCTGTTGGACTTCGGGAATACTGAGCAGGCAAAGAACAAGTTGAAGGTCTGTCAGGGGTTTTGGCTCAGTCAATTTGGTGGTTTCTTCCTTTCCGTTTCCCTTTGAAACTCCCTCAAAAAGTATCCTCAGGAACAGGCACCCTCAATTCTTGCCAGCTGGCTGTGGTCAGCCCGGTCAGTTTTGCCGGTGGCAAAGGAGCGTAAGATGGGTAGCTTCCTTGTGGATTCTTGGTGAAAAAAACAAGCCAACGCTACCTTGCTTCTTGGCCTTTTGGTGAAATTAGGGGAACCATGGCTGGGAGATCCTTGTTACGTTTCCAGGTGCAAGTTGACCATCTCTTGGCAAAGGTTGTGGAAAACTAGGCTTCAGGGCATTTGTTCGGCGTGATTTGCATCCTTAGACTTTATACAACTTTGTGGGAAGGGCTTTCCCTTGAACCCACAAGAAGTTAAACTTTTTGCGAGGGGTCAACAGCAACAAAGTTGGTGATACCAAGAGAATCGAAAGTAATCACAGGGAGGGCTCACTTTGGCATCACAGGTTTCGGGTCGTTTCCCACAACATCCCACAACCATTTCCCCTTTCCTTGCTGGTTCTCTGCAGGGAACGAGGGAATGACTATCCCCCAGTTTCCTTACAAACCCGCTTCCGGCTCATTTCCCAAGCCCCGGTGGATTCCCTCCCCAGCAAGTCTGACCATCAATGACTTGCTGGTTCTTTTGTAGATGTGGGAATGAACCCAGGGGTCTTAAAGGAAGCCACCGGTTGGATGGTTTTGGTCAACCACAAGGGGTGCAATGCTTCAGGGGCGTTCCATTTCTCATTCCCTGCCTATCGCAGCCAGACGAATCGACCACCGATTCCCAGGCCCGGCAGGGTGACTTTGGGGAGCTGACCGCGGCCCAGCTGCGGAAGCTGCAGATGCGCCTCGATCCAAACCAAAACCTGGGCGTTTTGACGTGTGGCTGTGGGTCAAAAAACCAATGGGATCCCATTTTGGGGTAGGTTCACCAACCATTTTAGACTATTTTAGTGGGGATTGGGGTTTTCACTGGCCTCTTTTTTTTAAACCATGATCAAAGTCACCCCCAAGTAGTGGGTTAAATGGGCACAACCCCGATTTTCTGACTTTGAGAACCCCCCAGAAACAGTCAAAACAATGACCCCAGTTTGACAAGTGGCGGATCGGAATCTGACAAGTTGGTTGTGTTTGAGGGGAAAAGCGGGTGTATTTGCGAGTCAACCCGGAACTTGAGGGGGCGTATGGGAGTACACAAGCCTTAAAACCGTCATATTCGTGCCGTTTGGGGTTCTGGTCTGGGGGTCTGGGAGCAAGCTTAATGTGACACGCCTTATTGGCAAAACACGTTTGCGTGAACATGGTTATCCATCAACCCATACTCTGTTACGCAGGAATCAGTCAGACAACAAACAGGAATATGTGTGTTTAAATGTATCGCCAGGAGATCTCATGTGTTTGTCACGTTTAGTCATCCTTTGTGTTTGGACACTGCCGGGATTTCTCAAGTGATTTCCTGCAGGGGTGCTTTTGCCAGGTGTTCAATGTTGTTGGCAAGCACGTAAGAGGGAACTTCAAATTTGAGATCGACGATAAGGAGGCTAAGTATCAGTCTCGCAGCATTCAAAAGGTCAGGGGTGATTCCAAATGGTGGGATGTTCCCAGGGTTCCAAAAGGGCCAGCACGATTAACCACCTGACATTTTTTCGGATTCATCCATTTCACACATGGGATTTGCGTCTGGCCATTCTGGCGATGGATGCAAGCGTCGCACGGCGAGATGGGCGGGCTTACCTGGTTTTTTGGCTTTTGCTCGCTTCAAACGGAGAGTCAGCCAACCACCTGTGCGTTATTGTGTGTTCAGGGTCTGAAAGGAAGATCACTCTGGTTTCTCCTTCTGACCGTTCAATGGGTTTACACAAATTTAGGGGTTGTGACAAGCCACCTTCAAACATACAGTATATGCAAGTTTAAGGAGGCACCAACCATGTTTGCGGTGTGAGGAGGCTCCAGGAAGTCTTTGTTGGGTCTGCCCAGAGCCGTGAGATCGCTCCTAGGCTCACCTTGGTCTCCATGGCCACCAAGGAGTTTCGGTTTTCGAGAGGGATCCAAAAGTCCGGTGGCTGGAAGGTATTCCAAGTCTGATGTTATTGGTTGCATGCGTGTTTCGCATGTGGTTCTTGGTTTTTTTGCGCCAAACAAAAAAAAAGCCTTGGTGTGTTTTTCTATGCCTTGGTGTGTGTTTCTAGTGATTTTTGGCCCAAGCCTTGCTTGCGCCAAACACTTTGCCAGAAGTTCCTTGGCTCGGCTTGGCCAAGCACCAACTGAATCAAAGCGCGCCCACGACTGGTTGTGCTTCTGGATTCCCCTGGTCCAAAAACACATTTGGCGAAACTGCTTTGAGTGAGCTTCAATGGTTGGCCGGGCGATTTGTATTTCTTTGAATGACTCTCTTTGGTCGAAAGGGACCTTTTCGCGTCGTTTCACCTGTTGGTGGGTAGTTGTGTTTGGCTGAAAACGAAGCGAATCCTGGCGTTGCCATGATGGCAAGCTGAAAGCCAGCTGCCGCAGGACTTGATTATTCTTGACTTTGGGACCTTTGCCCCCTCACGAAAACCAGAAACAACACATCACCTTCTGCCGGCTGGTAGGCAGTAAAGTGTGTATTTCTTCTAGGTTTTGAAGGGTGGGTCCGACACGCCGTGGTTGACTACTAGCAACTGGCAAATGGAATCGCAGCACATGCAGGAAGAACCCCGTAAAAGCTCCTTGTTCAGATACATGTGCGCCTCGGTCAAAGCACTCTTTTACTGGAGTGCCTGCTACCCCTCAATTTGTACAATTGTAACACCAAGCGAGAAGAAAAAGAAGGGAAGTTCTGCCTGTTCGGGCTTTCTAGCACCAACGCCCAACTTCACAACGACACGGTTCTGTACGGTTCCGAACGCTCTAGAACGACTTGCGAACGCTCCCGTTTGGTGTTGCAGTTGTACAAATTTGGGGGGTAGCAGGTAAGGCTAGGCAGGGCGGGTCATGAACCCCTTAGAGAATGTGGACAACCAAGACCCGCATTGCAACTAAGACCAATTGAGATAACAATGACGGCCCACATAGGGAGCTTGGCACCTGGAAGCAAAGCGTTTTTTTTCTTCGGCTGTCGGGCAGGACAAGGTCATCAGATTCTCGGATTTGGAGGTCCGGAGAAGGGTCTGTGGGGGAGGGGTCTATGGCGGAGCAAGCCTGGAAACCACATCGGCGCAAGGGGCCCTAGCTTTGGCACTTTTCGTGTTGACCCCAGGTGACTTGTGTTGTTCTTTTTTTGGTTTTCTGGGGAAATGGTTATGAGCAGTACATTTGGTGGCGTGGAAAATGCAAGTGGAACATGAGCAACACGGGAACCAGGCTGGTCTTTGTTTGGTTTTAAACGCCACAGGTGGCCTTTTTAGATCAATTGAATCTAGATGGCACTCGTTGCAGGTTGGTTTTAATCATTTCCCAGTGCCAATTGTTTTCCCAAAAACATGACGAAAGCACTACCTTCCGGGGTTGCGATCTCCAGCTCTGTTTGTGAGCCGGCGATAGCGTATTGATTGCCGGACCCCCGTAAGACCGGTCCAAACCCGGCGCCGTTCAGGATGCAAGTTCACAAACAATCACCAAATCTGGAGGCTACATTAGCAATTTCCTTTCATTTCCCGGCCAAAGCCTTTCCAGTCGGTTTTTGCGCGTTCTCTTCGATTTTATCACGTTACCAGCCGGGAGAGTTGTTTGAAGTGCGAAGGCCATGGAACGGTTCGCGATGGATCCCTGCACCAGGCGGCCGTTGACGTCACGGGCACAAGGGCGCTAGAGGACCTGATCATCGAGGCCAGCTGGGTTTTCCTACGTCAACAAGAGTGCCCCTCGTTTCCCAAGCGGAAGTGGGCTGAGAAAAGGTCCTTTCCCAAGTGGACACTCCGTGTAATTATCTCTGCCATGATGAAACAACAACCTACAGCTTAGGATTGGTAAGCTGGGCTGCTCGGCCTCGGAGCTTTCTGATCGGATGTTATTTTTTCCCCTTGCCCGCTGTATCGGTGTACATTCTGTGGCAAGTTGCACATCTGCAGGTCAAATGCTTTGAACCTGTGCAAGTACTGTGGCTGCGGGGTCATCCCCCGCCATGGCCGCAAATGCTTCTTCACTGCATGACAATGTACGCAGATCTTTGGAGTTTTGTTCACACCGGCCTCAGCCTCCAAGAGCCGGTTTGAACGGATTGTGCCCCTCTGTTGGCTGTGGCCTGGTTGTACTTGTCAGAATACGGTCCGGGAGCCCCGGCTGTATTCCTGCTCGTGCATTGCAGGAGCTTTTTCCCCATTTGGCAGGTTTGGGGTGACAGATCTTGAGTGTCAGCCCCGCTGTGGCCGTGACAGCTGCGACAGAGCCCGAGGCTCCCAGTGCTGACAGTCCAAAGCCTGACCAAAGCCTGAGGATTCAGGACAGCCGTGACTGGTGGCCGGGTCAGGACAGCTGCCATCCAGGATATAGCATGTCATTGAGAGTTTGTGCGTTGCGCTTGGCAGCAGCCACGGTGTAATGATCAGAAGCCAGCAGTGCGTAGCTGTTCGCTTGGTCACAATGCTTGGCTTTCCCTTCAAACAACATGCCTACTAAGTTTGAATTGGTAACTGTCTTAGGTGGGGATTGCTCGAAGAAACGTTTTATTTTAAGGATGAAGAGGCAAGCCCTGCAAGAGGTCCCTTTGTCAAGGAAGCAGAGCTCCCCTTCGAGATTGGGGTGCCTTGTCTTCAAGTTCCCCTTCGAGCGGTATAGCCACCCAGAGACATTCACTTCCCCGAGAGGAAAGAAAGAAACTTAGTTATGTTCAAACTTTCTAGATACTTACAAAGACCTCAAAGAAGTTACTGAGCCTCGGTGGCTTCGCGTGGCCAACCGCCCCTTAGTACCGCAGGCAGTGTACCAAAACCTGGTGGTGGGCAAGATGGATCAGGACAGGAACCATATGCTCATTTTGTGACGAGCACACCGATTCGGGGTACAACCGAAATCCAGGATGTGCCAGGATGTAGGTCCGTGGTGATCCCTTGTTTGAGCTGCTAGAACTGGAACGGTTTGACTGAGCAAGTCAAGTTCTTGTGTTGGGTTTCTCAAAATGTTGGATTCCTTGTTTAGTTTGTATTTTAAGTGAGACGAAACTGAAACCAACCATTTCAGGGGACATATTCGCCGTTGTAACAAAGAACATGTGTATGCCTGTTAGACAACCACAACATGGCTGTTGACACTACAGTTGGGTGACAGTACATAGGCACAATCCACCATCTACTTTCACCGTACTTGCACCGGCCGACAGGAGAACAACTGCCTCATCGTAGACTCTGTGGCATGCCGGGACTGCCGGGCAGAGGACCGTGGGTGTGGAGGGTGAGTACTGGCTGTGTTAGGAGTAGGCGTGCTGTTGTTTTTTTTGGCTTAAAGCTGTTTGTTCGATTGTTTGGGAAATTGTTGTTGATGCTCAGTTCTTGTCTGCGGGTTTGCAGTGTTGCTTGTTTGTGATTGTTTGTGCAGACCATCGCCCAGGATTTGCCTTTTTACCGTCCTCCTGGGAAACCAAGAAGACCCCATCCAACAGAGTTTGCACACCGCGGACTGTTGTTTGAATATTGTTCCAGAAGAGAGCTGGTCAAAAGGTAAAGCTTTAGTTGCCTGTACTATCGGCTTGTTGCTTGGTTGTTTGTTGGCATGTGTGTTTAAGTGTTCAGTGCTTTTTTGTTTGTTCATGTTTCACAGGCGTTTAAATACATGTCGCACTCTTGAGCGCCTGGACTTGATATATATTTCAGGAAGACAATTTTAGTGGTAAAGGAGCAGTTTCCATCTTGTCAGTCCACTGAGGAAGTGAGCAGTGTTTTACTCGGACACCAGGGTGGGGATTGGTGGCTTCTGGCTTCTGGACTCAGCCTTCCTTGGGCTGTCCAGTTTTAGCATCATCTTTTGTGGCTGTGTGCAGGTGTAGTTCCTGTTGAAATGATGATAGGGAGTATGAATGTGTCTCAATATAGGGGAACCCCAAGTTGCTGGTGTCCCTTCAATTTCCCTTGAACAAACCGGGAGCCCTGTTCAGCCTTAGTGTTTGCACCTGAGGAAAGGATGCGCAGTGGAAAGTCACATCTCAGGACATCGACTACATCATTGAGACGCTAACGGCATGGCAGGCGTCCGCACAGGACATGATACGGTCGCCCGGGCCCCGCTGCCCCGTCGGTCGATGTTGAGCCCTCGGCCCTTTCAGCCGGCCTTAGGACCTTTGAGCTTTTCTTGATGTGGTTTGACCAGACAAACCTTGAACTTGTTGAGAACATGACAAACAAGCCTTGCTAGCCGCAAAGAGGACAGCTTGTTCGAGGACCCCCCTTGAGACCAATGAGAATTACCTGACAAACCGAGTCCCAGTAGGTCACAATGAGAACCAACTTGGAGTCGTCCTTTCGCCCTCATGCGTTGGGCCCCTGAAGAAAAGGTACCCGCACTGCTGGGATTTGGCGCCTGGCAACTTTCCTGGGACCACGTATGTTCAAAACCCCCAACGAAAACAACATGTCTGGGGTTGAAGTGGGAAAACAACTAGTATCATTCAGCAAACCATAAGGGGGTTCTGACAAAGTGGTTCCGGCTTGCACCAAAGGAACAACATGATGTGTAGCATGCTAGAACATTTAGAAGTTGTTAGAATCCATTCAGGGTCACCCAAATCATGGAGTGTTCCTGGAAAGTGTGAGGCATTCCCGCCTTCCCTCACTGTGGCTGTCCTTGGCCGTGAGTCAGCGCGCCAGCAAGTATCCGATCCACCAGGGAACATGCCAGAACATGCTTGAGACGTGACACGGCGATTCGCAGCTTGTGGCTCAAGGCGGAACTTTCCCAAGACCAGTCGCCATGTGGAAGTCGCCTATTCTCCACGAGTTGCTCACAGTGGTGCAGAGCGCTCACTGCGCCATAAGAGGCGATCGTGAAGCCGCACTCGGCAAACTGGCAGAGCCCCAGCTATATTGGTGAACTTGGTTTGAACTGACTTGAAGCTTCTGGCTTCCGCTTCCAGGTTCTGATCATATAGCTGTCCACGTCAAAGTTTGTGAGGGTCAAATTACGCGATCCGCCAGCGGCAACGCGGCTTATCAATGGGTGCCAGGAACTGGGTGATTTGTTGCGCCCTAACCAGCCGGGATTAAGGGTCCTTTGATAGAGTTTTTTTAAATGTCTAGTGGGGAATTCAGTATGCTCAAACAAGCCCAAGTCTGTGACACCAAGTTGACATCCCATATAGTGACAGCAAATCGCTAAACGGTAAAACAGAACGGGCCTGTCAAGGCCTTTCCAGTTTCTGCCATGCATCAACAGCGCCTTTTGGACCAGTTTAAAGTGAGTTCCCTTTTAGGGTGATGTTTCAGTGGGATGTAGGGACGCGTGAACATGTTCCAAGAAATATAGTCAGCCAGCTTCTGAGACAAACCCAGTTGGCCCAGTTTTTCAGGGTGTGTTTCTGAGACATGGCCATGAATTCAAATAGGGAACCCCCTCAAAAGTGGCTGGTGGACACAAATCACCATGTCAATGTAAATGATGTCCAGCAATTAAAATTCACTCCCACATGACCCTGCGAGTCAGGAGTACAAGGACGCCTCATTCCTTGGCTCCCCCTTTGCAGCTGCCTACCACGCCTGCCGCGGCGAGTGGGTTGAGGCGGAGCGGCTGGGCAGAGCCAGCGGTGAGGTGGCAGGGTGTGCTTTGGCATCGGCGCCTGGGATGTCATTCACAAAGGGTTGGGGCTCAGTAGGGAATGAGGGAATGAGCCTGGGGATTCCCTTACGGGCTGAGCACCAGCGAGAAAGGGTTGGGGTCCAACATTGGGAACTTGTTTCGACCCAGTTTTGCACCAATGAATCTGCCTGAATCATGGTACCCTCGGGTCCAAATTCGGGATTGAAGCCCATGGGTTAGACAAGTACTCATGAGTTGTGGCTCAATCATAGTACCCTCTCACCCACCTGGAAGTGCACAGGCTTGCCGTGTAAGAGGACAGGGTCTTCCAAAATAGTTCTGTGCACTTCCGTGTTTCTTGGCAGGGTACTAGTTGGAAGGTGTCAAACCTGTTTTGTTTCCCTGTCAACCTGCCAAAAGGACAACATTGTCAGCAGGGGGTCTATTCGTTTGGGCCAGTCTGTTTGCCTTCACACAACGGTTTTGAGGTTCAGTTTGCGAAGTCACCGATGGTCCCTTTTCACAGCAAAACGCTAATGTCAGCTTGCCACTTGCTGCGGTAGCAGGGGAATGCCGGATTGCGCTTGGGTCGTAGTCATAGCATGATTGTCCACCCCGGAGTTTGCTAGAGCCTGGCAGATTGGCAGGGGGTCAAACATCTCGGGTCCTACTTACATGCCCTGAACGGATATACCGCAAAGTCAGCAGTTATAAATTGGTCATACGGAGGGTGCACAGGTACCATCCAGGGTACATACCCCAAAGAGCATCCCGATACAAGGCTTATAGGTGGGCTAGGCACATGCATAATTAGGCAGTGCTTCCCCGAAGTGAGGGATTCCCACCGCGTGCTTAACTTCCATTGCTTTCATACCACCTCCCCCTCCAACAATCCCCCTTGTTTACCCAAAATCAGAGCCTGAGTTGCGGCCTTATGAAGGCTGCATGAGGAGGGTTGGATCCCATGCTTTCGCCTAGGGCCTAGGAGGGTTTGCATCTGAGTAGCATTGCGAACTGAAGATGCAGCATAGACAACGCTTGTTTTGTGAGGGGGTGGGGGGGCTTCTGGGGATGTGTTCGTATTTGTCATCCTCATCCAACACGCTAAAATTATGGTCAATGGAATACATCAGCTCTCCTTTGGTTTTCATGCCCAGATTGGTTCCACAACCATTGAGACTTAGCTCAATGGTTGGTACTTCTCATGTCAACCCCAAGCCCATGCAACGCCTTGGAATGATTTACTGAGCTCAGGGCTTCGGGAAAGGCAGCCTTGGTTTGGGGATGGTCACCCCAACCTTACGCTGGGGCCTCTCAAACAAATGTAAATGTTGGGGTCGACATATAAAATAGACTCTGTGTGCCCTAGATGTGGGCCAAAGATGGTCCCCACCCAACCTTGGGTTTTTTTCAGGTAGGGGAGGGCGTCATGCAGAAGGTGCCGGTGTTTCATGAGATTGCCACAGCCGGACGGAGTCTTCAGCTGGTGGCACAGGCTGGCTGGCTCCCAAACCGCTGATACCTCCCTCGCCTGCTGTTTGGTTGGATTTGTTTAGACTTTCACTATTTGGGAAGTACCTAGAGTTTCCATGACCCCTAGAAAAAGGGGTCATAACCCCTTAATTTGGGCAATGACCCCATTGTTAAAGGGTCATGGAGACTCCAGGTACTGTGTTATTTGTAGCAGAGAGCGCTTTTTTGTTGCACGGGGTTGAGCCATGAACCCACTCCAGCCTCAGATAGCCTCAGGGACATTGGGGAGTTCCCCAACGAAATCAAGAGTCCCGTCCCCATGCATGTTCCCTTTGCGAGCGTGAGAAAGTCAAAGGAAAGGTTCCCCATGTTTTCTGGGGGGGGGGTTGGCGATGGTTTCAACTCAAACCAAATCAACTCCACATTTGAGAATTCGTCAGAAAACCAAAAGAAGCCTGCAACCCTACAAGCTCGCAATGGCTTAAATCAAGAAAGATATTTCGGACTTTGATTACCTCTGGAAACGGTCAACTTACTTTTTGTGTTTACTTCTTTAGAACAATGCTTTCGCAGAATCTCACACCGGGAGAAATGATCGGAGCCCCCTTAGTTGGGGCGTTTAAGGGTAACCTTCCTTTGGATGTTTTCTCAATGCTTGCAAAGGGATCCAAGTTTGAACTACTTCGGAGGGCAATGGAGCCAAATGAAAGTGTTCAGGCGCAATTGTTGAAAGGCAAAAGGCTGCAACTATATAAGGGTCCCTGTTTTCTACTCCCGAACATCTTTGATGCGCTGGAAAAGAGGAATGGTGCTGCCTAGACCTTATCTGGCAGCGCCTTTCCGGGACCCCACAAAAATCCCCATTTGGCCAGGAAGTCTGGAACAATGCAGCTTCCCTTCCACAAGTCATTTCAAACCGAAGACCCGAAGACCAACTAATTACGCCAGAAGTTTACCGTGAAGCCCCGGATTTTGAGCGCTAAGGTGGCGTCTTGCAAAGTGCGCAGGCCGTATTGCGACAGATTGTAGCTGGCATATGTCAGAGCCATGTGGATCAAGCAAACCATTTCCAAGAACAAGCCGGAATTGCTACGGCCTTTCCAGCACATGCTCGAGATGTGTATGTGTCAAAGCCAGTGGGACTTATTTGGGGCTTGCTTTTCAAGAAATTCCTGAACAAAGCCTTTGGAATTGTTCAGTTCCAACTGTGCTGGGCATGTGTCAAACGTATGAATGCTTAGGATGGTTTTGAAAGGAACCTAGATAGAGCATCACCTTCCCTGTTGTCTAAGTTCGCTGCCAGTGTTTGTTTGTTTTGCTGTTCTGGGAAGCCTACGCACCAGATTGACACTGACTTGGGAGCAGGTAGCAGGTTCGAGTGCGCACGTGCTTGTCCATTGTTTGGGAGTTATTATCCGTTTGCGAGTGGTTTAAAGTCAAAAAACAGAACCCATCCATTTTGTGGCTATGTTGTGACAAGCCATTCATTTGACTCGCTGATTGACTTCACATGTCATTCGAAGGCCATGTTGAAAACCAGTGAAACCAAACTAGCAAGACCTGAGGCAAGCACAATAAACCCAAACCCTACCGTGAAATTCCAAACTCTGCGAATTCGGAGTGGGATTGGTTCCAGCCTGACAGGACAACCCCGAAGCCGCGAACGAGGTTTGGACGCGAGAGTACCGCAATGACAGCATCATGGGATGCCTTGTGGTGGCCGGCATTGAGGCAGCTCAAGGACCAGAGTTTCGAACACATATTCCTTTCTTGCACTTGCTTAAAAAGTATGCTTATTGTCCGCTGTTGATTTTGAAGGAAACCTATGACTACTGAAAATATGCATTTTCTCCGAGGACTGGAGCAAATGGAGGCTTGGGGTAAGGCAAACTTACCATAAATATCTTTTGCCTGGGAATTCATGGCCCAGATTCTCAAGCTAACTTGTGCATTATTTTCAGGGATCCTTGTTTCCGAACCACCAACAGCTCAGAGACGTTTGGTGTTTGAATTGAATGGGTATCAATCCCTAGACAAGAAATCGCCAGACCCGAATCGGGTCCCCTCTTAAAGGGAAAGGCACGGTCTAGATCCCGACTCTGTGCATACGCGCCTACGCGAGTCTTCAGAAAATGAGGGAAGCCTTGAGAGAGCGGACGGTTCTGAAGAGCATGAGCGAGGAAAGGATGCCTCACTCCGAGTTCCAGGACTTTTTGCACTTTTTGGGAAGGACGGTTCAGTGGTAGCAGTTGGGAGTTGTTTTTTCTGGCTTTTCTCTACTCAGGAAAGCTGTTGTTCAATTAGTATTGGTTTAATGGGTTTAACGGCACCCTGGCAAGGACGTGACGCTGCCCCTTATTTGATCAAGAGTGGCAATGCCTTCAGGGACGCCGAGCCGGGATTTGCAAAACTCGCCTCAGCTCGTAAGTTGGCCCTGCGGATTAAGTCCTCGCCGTTGCTCGCCGCGTTGGACTTGGCTGTGGATTTTCTCTCGCATCTTCAGCCGGAGCCTCCCGCCGCATCCGGAGGTGGAGGCAGGGCAAACTGAGGATGGAAACCACTCGTTGTAGAGCCAATAGAGCTACAACCCAGTGGATCTGATTACTATAGTAGGCAACCAAGGGAAACCATCATGTGGCTGCGAGTCAATTTATAAGGTCCGGAACAGGGTCCGGAACCCACATGCGATCCAGACCTTCGTTCCAGACCTCCGTTCCAGACCTCCGTTCCAGACCTTGCCTAGAAACTTGATCCAGACCTTCCGTTCCAGACCTTGTTTATATATTTATGTCTAGTTTAGAGTATTGATTCAGACGGTCAGGTGATTTGGTAGGTTATTGACTCCCCCCTTGTTTTGCAAAATGCTACGCGTTAAAGCTGGGGTTCGCAACCCCGCCGCAATCTGTTCGATACGATACGGTAACGGCTCGATACCGCTCTCGGTGGTCACATTGTTGAAACGACCATGTTTACATGCTGCTTGCTAGCATTCCCAAGTGCAACACTCGCGCAACCGTTCCAGACCCCGTTCCAGACCCGTTCCAGACGTGTTCCAGACGCAGCGGAGCAATTTGCCACCAAGTCCACATGCACGCACACACACACACACACACACATGCCCCACGTAAGTAGCTGCGCTTCTTATGCGGCCCGCCGCGCCGCCCAAGAAGCCTTCAAGGAGGTGCCGTATCGTAAGGCCGCGCGCCGCTGGTCGCTTCATCCATCCATCTACCCATCCATTCAGCCATCCATCTATCCATCTTACACTAAATGAACGTGTGCTTGAGGACTCCACGCATGTCCTCCCAGAGGTCCGGAACAAGCGACGTTGCGTAACTGACTCGTTCCAGACGCCCGCGTCACCGCGGAACGTTCCACACCAGAATATTGACCCACACCCATGTAAAATCCAGAGGCACAGTGAGGCCTATTGCCGATCAAACAACAAGTCATTCGCATCCAGGCAGCCGGTCTCGGCAGCGCAGCTACGCGTGAGAGATCGGGCCAACGCTGAGTTGGAATGATTGAATGGCTGCCCTTGTTCAGACGTTCAAAAGGCACAGACTTGATGATTGAATACCCTATGAGGCAATGTCCTTTGCCTGGGGGGTCTGACTCAGCAAAACACCCCAGCAACTTGTTCCTAGCCAAAGTCCACATCAGTTGAATGGCTTTATCAGTTGAAAGTCTTGACACCAAGTCGTGATTGGAAGGAGCACGCTGGGTGCACACTGAAACAGCACATGCTTGCAAACACCACAGTAGCTTTGCAGCGTTGCACTTGCACCTGCCAAGTTTCCTAGTTCGGTTGTCGAGCTGAATTTACGGAAAGGGAGCAGCGCTGAACGATGCGATCTGGCGCAAAATAATTGCATCGCGCCAAGTCATGAACTCGAGGTCGTTGCAGAACTTGCTTTGGGGCACGCGTGTCTCAAGTTATAAACCTCCTACTTGTACATTTCAAGAGTGCAAAGAGGGAAGCTATTTGTGTTCAGGCCCAGAAGCCAAAAAGTAGTATTGTGGATCCGCGGCGTGCGCAGGGCGCCAGCAGAATACTGAAGCAGATGTGTCCAAACACGGAGGGAGTCATGGGGACCAAATATCCCCCACATTCGCTTGAGGGGAAGCGACCTGTGTCTGAGCAGTTTGCGGGAAGCGACCAGTTCATTTGCTACACCCCGCCTATCGCCTAAGTAGATCCTTACAGACCTTAGAGCCCCATATCCTGAAGTACTGCAAGGAGCCTTAAGATTTGTATCAAATGGGTAGCTAAGCAGCCCTTGTAGCACCTGTCCCTAGGAATTGGCCCACGGCTAGCAGGTATTAGCAAAGGTCGGCCCAGATAATTTCCTTCGAGATTCGAGTGACCAAGCGTCACCACTGGGCTGTGCGGTGGGTGGCAAAAGTGGGTTGGTTTCCTGTTGGTCTGGTTGATATCCCCAACGGCAACCGCCTCTTCACCCCCACTCCCATCCACTCCCGAAAGCTTTCAGCTTTTTGGTCAAAAGGGGTTGTCTGTTTGTGGATGCACACATGACAAGGCTAGCATGCCAGAACATGTTGGTGTCTGGCAAACGTCCTCGGTTGCCCCCCCAAAAAAAAACAAAAGAAGAAAAAAAGTAAGGGAACCCCGGCCAGGTGTGTATATCCGGGGTATATCCGTTTTTTTGGGAGGGGAGGGGGGGAAAAATGTAACTTGACAACTTTTTCTCCCCCCTCCCCCCCAACAAAAGTTGGGGGAGTCGCAAAATGTAAGCTGATGATGCTGGAGGTGCAGATGTGGCGCATGCGCAGAGGCTTTTGAAGTGCGGCAAGTTCATGAAGTTGTAACTTGGTGCTGTGCGAGGTACCTTGCTGATGGGTCCACCAGCGTCCAAAATGTAATCTGACATTTGGCAAGTCCCCAGAAGAAAATGTAATCTTACACTTTTAGGTGCCAAACCCCAGAAGATGCAAATTACATGTTTAGACGTCCGCCCCCCTTCACGGGGTGGGGTTGTTCCAACACATGTTTCTTTAATTTGTATTCCGCATCCAGGGGGCAGGCGAGATCTCATGACGGAGAAACCACCCGAGAATATTTTTATGTGAGGTCATGTTTTGTTTTTTCTGTTGTTTTTCCCTTTAAACACAATAAGCACATGGGTGTGTGATGCTCAAGCCCCAGTTTTCAAGAGCATTTCCTCTGCTCTTTAAGCCATGACCTTCATCTTTTGTCTTGGATCAGGATATATACCCCACTCGCCCTTGGGTCAGGTTTACTGTCAGGTGTATGGCGCCAGGCCTATTTTCCCTCTCTGTTTCCCTTGGCTTCACCCTGCAAGCGACTTAGGTTGGATGCCTCTGTCTCGCGGGCCTGCCATGTTGAGGGACTCAAGACACCTTTCCAAATGGCTTGGACTTCAGGAGCCCTAGTTCATGCAGAACAAATGGGTGTGTCTCAAACTGGGAGAACCCCGGTCACATTGGCAATGGTGTCCTTTGGGTTCCCCCTTAAACCACTTCCAACACCCAAAAGAGACACACACTTCCAATCAAGCCCTTCACAGTTGAGGGGAGAAGGTTGCACCCGGCCCCCCTCTCCTGTCAACCCGGTCTTAAGGGGAAACCAAAAGGACACCACGCGTTTGCGGGTTCCGGATTTTTTGGAGCCGATCTCAATGGACTTGGCAATCGCATGGAGATCGCCGCCAGATTTGCGGTGGCCAGCAACGAGAAGCAGAAAGCTGCACAAGAAGAACTTGAGAAGGAGGCCCACTCGGTGTGCCTTGGCCCCCCCCAATTCGGGGCTTCCTGTTGGTTTCCTTTGAGCTGCAAAAGGGATCCCGCCCGCACATTTTCGGACTCCATGCCAAAAGGGCGGTGGGCTGTGGGCAGACTGAAACCTGTGTCACGGTCAAACTACCCGGTTGGTAGGGATGCTCGCCAAGCTCGCCACTGTGATGAATAGAACCGAGGGGGCATCCAATAGCCATTGATAAAACCCGTCCTGGTTTACCAGAAGTGGCAGAGGGGAACTGACTCATGCATCATAGAAGCAGTTTGGGGTTCAAGTGGACAGGGGTTTGGAAAGACTACTATCACCAATTAAAGCAGGCAGCTCCCGTCCGCTTCCAGCATTGTCTGTTAGTGGCTTTCGTTTGCTTGATGTTTCAAGGGGACTCCAGATTGAACCCTGTCGAACTTCTTAGAGTTGAATTCCCATTGTCTTCACCCACCGTTATTTTCAGAAGTCATCAATGCTCTGTGGCTTTGGCCATTTACTGGCGAGAAGGATTGGATCCCTCGAGGAAAAGTGGGGGAATACCTGGCTAGTAGATCACAGGTACCACCATGATATGTAATCATACGTCGTTGTGTTTTTAAAGGGTTAGACGCCCCTCATCTACCGACCAACTGGGAAATGGGTCCAGGGTAGGGTTATGAAGTTGCTTGTGGGGATCCATGCTTTGGACGGGTATTCAAAGAGTATGAAACGAATAGCAGGGAGAAAAAGCGCGGTAATAAATCCACAAGTGAATCCCAACCCGTTTTTTAGACCTTGGTTTCCTGTTAGCTGCTTTCTACTATTCCCTCTTGTTCCTTCTGTTTGCTTGAAAATCCTTTGAGTATGGTTTATATGCAATAGGTTGTTTATTGTTTTATTCTTCTGTACAACATTGCTCCTTGTTCCTTTGGGTTCCTAGGATTTATGGCCTTACATGGGGGCCTCTCTAATGCGTCCGCATCGCGCGGAGGTGAAGTTGATCCGGGAGACCCTGAAGGCAAGCATGGCGAGCATTCTCGAGCGAGCAAGCGAGGGCGGGTCTTCAGCGGCTGCGGTTAGAATGTTGACATATTGATATGTTTTTGTACAATTATGATGGTGTCGTTTGGGGAACTGGGCACGGAAGTGGAAAAGTGTATTTCACTATGTTTTGAAACAACAAATCCTTTTGAAGTGTGGTTTCCAGCTCCTGTTCGGGTACGTCTTCGCTTGGACATGTGTTGCCAGGGACCTCTTCCATCATTTTCCTCCTCAAAGTGGTTGGTGGACATGAATCCCCGCCTAAATAGTGTCCACCAACGGGTCGGGACCCATTGAAAATCACAAAGTGAATAATGAGCTGGGGATCGTGTGCCTGTCGCGAAGCCGCTTTGCCCATGAGTCCCGAGAGGACGCCTCCAACCTCGCCCCGACCTCGCCCCCTCTCCAAATCAGCCCTTAGGCTCCTTCGGTCTGAGCTCATGTTGAGATTACAGGTTTGGATTTTCTGGATCTTTTGAGTTGCTGGAAACCAGCGTGTGGTGCGCCAACGAGGGGATCGGATTTCTGTTCAGCTGCGTACCATGAGCTCTGGTTCTGCCCAAACAGCCAAACTCATGCGCAGACAGTCTATTGCAAGAGAAGCAAACCACTATGAAACACATATTATTCTACCTGGTCGGCTTTCACGGACGAGCAGCATGTGCAGGAGGTGGGCATTTAGGTGCACAGCAATCAGACAATGCGCAACATTGGAGATGTCCAAGCACCAGTTAGCTACATCATACGCAAATTTCATGTTGCAGAGCTTGGATAGTTTGGAAGGGTGTCAATGCCAGCCAGCTCGCGCGGTCTCGCACATTCCAGGAGGGGGACTCCACCAAAGCAGGCGGGGGCGGATGCACGCGCATGCAGACGGAGGATGCAGATGAGGAGCGCTGGCCGAGTGTCTGCCTGGTTTGCCTGCTTGGATTGGGACTTTAAACGGGCTTAAGGCCTTACTCTGGAATTCTCGGGGTTGTTGGGGGGCGGGGCAGAATTTGATGATCGAAGGTCCCTGATCTCCCCTGGCTCATGGAAACTGGCCCTCCAACAGGTTCCACAAGGTTTTTGGATCCCAAGTCCAGCTAGCCTGAGCCCCGGTGAGGTTTCCACCAGCTTTGAGCTTTTTGCAGATGTCTCCTTGTAATGCAAAAGTTCCGGGGGGGGGGGGTGGTGGGTGGTGGTTGCTTTTGCAAGCCGGGCAGCCCACGGGAACATGTAGCTGCAGCTGGGATCATATTCAAAGCAGCCAGCGAATCTTGAACATTCTTCAAGTAAGTCATGGGACAACACGGGTTCGCTAGGGGTTTGTTAGACCGTTGCAAGGTGCCCTTTCCTGTTTTATGGGGAGTCAACAAGTCCCAACCTATTGCACACATCTGGACCCAAGGGACATCAAGGGCACTGGCCACAGTCCAACAATGGAACCCTTTCTTTTTGCACGACGTTCAAGTACGATTAGTTTGTAAGGCTGACTCTAATCCGAGGCATTTCTGCCCCTCGCCGACAATGCAATGTGGCTCTTTGAACGATTGCGTCTCAACAAATGGGGGATCCTCAAAAAGGTCGGCTTTCTGTTTTCCCCTTAAACCAACCCCAAGAAGGGTAATTTCACGCGCAAGCTGATCAAGCCAAATAGACAACCCTTGAACCTTTCCGGAATACTACACAGGCAAAGAAGAAGCTGAAATTCTTGTGATTGGCCCAATCAGACAACATACTGAAAGAGCCCCGGAGCCGCTCAGAACCACTCCCTGTCGCCTATTTGGGAGACACTTAAGCGTTCTGTTGGGAAGAAGGGCTCAACTCTTTATGGGAACTTAGACCAACCATTGTAAGGGTTTGTGCGGAAGCCATGATCAAAACTAAGGAGCAAAAGGATTGACCGAAAGCGTTCAGGAGTCCAAGAGGGCGAAGAGCACCCGCGGTCGCTGGGTGGGCGGCATGAGCTGGGACACCCAATGCCTAGAGCAGTGGGTAAATCCACCTCGCCACAGTTCCTCGAGTCATAGGCCCCCGAGTTAGCCCCATCCCTCCCTCCCCTGGATTCCTGCAAATGGCCATAAGTTATGGTCTTTTTTGGGGAAATATGGGGAGGGAGGTTGAATCCGCCAAGGAAATCCTCAGATGGCAAGCTGCGTGAAACGGTGAACCCTGCTGTGGTTGTTTCAAGAAGGAAACGGGCAATGCTAAGTTGCGTATTTTGAGACCAGGTCAATAATGGGAGGCCTTCAGAGAGCTTGGCGTGCGGCGTGCTCTTAGCTGTTGCCCTTTGACTCCGCCACTGACGAGCCGGTGTCACGTTTGGCGGTCAAAGACGGGCACGGGACCATGAATGCATGGCCCGCTTTGGATGCCAGAGAGCCTTCTAAGAAGATGGGTGCTTGAAATGAGATACGAATATGTTGTTCTGCCCGATGAATTTGGAGTAATACAGGGGTGAGTTTCAGAATAGGGTGCCCCCACAAATGATTGGCTTCCTGTGGCATCCCTTTTAGCAAACCAAAAGAGTACCCTCAACAAGAAGACACCCACATCTGCAGCAAACATGAGGCATGGTTGAAGTTCTATGTGAGTGAGGTTCGGTCAGCAAATAATGTCTGATGCGATTTTGGAATGACGTTGGGCACTCTTGAATTTTCAACTGCACAAACGACGGGGAGACTCTCTAATTTCCCCACGTCCACTACGGCTAACAGCATAATTTTGCTGCGGTTAGTGTGAATCTGCGGAGTATGTGTTGCAAAGCATACTCTGTGCAAAGCCCTCATTGAACCGCAGTCAGAAAGGTAGGGGGTCCTCTAATTGGGGGTGCCCCTTTTGAATGGCATATGAAGGCCAATTCAGAAACCAGCCATACGAATGCTTCCGTGTGTCCCCCATCCTTGAGCTGCTGTTGGTCTCATTAAATAATAGGGAAACCAACCTTACCAATCGAGAAGCATTTGACAATTGACTCCTTCTGGGTCCAAATCCTTTTCAATCACTGCCCTAGTTTCTGGCCTTTGCACTTCTTGAGAATGTCAGTTTAGCGCGGCGAGCACACACAGACAAACTGACACCTGTTGGACTCTTTTGCTCGGGCTTGTTGGCAGCAGATGTCCCTTCAACATCAAGAAACCGACAAGTGCAAACAACATGTTCCCAGAAAACTGTCTTGGCAAGCACGTAACATTCTAGTCCGATTTGATTGTATCCCTAAACTGGGCAGGGAACATGGGATGACAATCCCTGCGCAAAAACAAGAACGTGAAGGTGATGGAACTTTACCCATCCCCCACCCAGAGGGATATTCGGCCTGCTGCTCCCTCAGGCAAGCACTGACTTCGCGGAGCCGCATCTCTCGCTCTCTGCGCGGAGGAAAATCGAATCGTCTCCATTGGGTGCAATGGCCCTACAGTGCACGTTCCCGCAGTTTAATATCGACCGAAGGCTGTCTTTGGCCCGGTCTCATTTTTTTTGTTTGGGATATGACTGTTTCGCCACCAGCTCAGACCAACCCAGTCAAGATATTGCACATGACTCACGGCTTGTGCCATTTATCATCCGTCTTCCGTGGCGTTGGCTCCAGGATTTGTGCCTGAGGCGGCCACATCACGCGGTGTGCTTCCGACACTTTCCGTTCAGCTTTCAAAGCCGTCTAGCGCAATGCGTGAGGCGATCTGCATCCACATTGGCCAGGAGCCTCGGCAGTGTGGCACACATGTTTTTCCGGCAGTTGTCTCCAAATAGGGAACCTGCCCCCGTAGTTTCGCTTTGAAATCTCCCGAACTGAGTACCCATAAAACTGACACACAAACACACAAACACAGGTGTGGCACTTAGTTTTGCTCCTGTCCTACCAGGCTTTTAGATGACATGATTTGCTTTATACTTCCCGCAAGCCACTTTTCACTTTTTAGGTTGGGCCCTGTGGTTTGACGGCCGCCTGTGCAACGATACATTAGTTGGTTGAGGTACCCAAACATACCTTCGGTGTAAAGAATGGCGTTTGTGATATTAATTGCGAGGGAGTTGAGAACACGCCAGCCCGTTGTGAGGGTGGTGCACCGGTGGAGGCCAGACTTATCTTAGTGTGATGTGCTTATCTTAGGGTGGTGTGCAGGGTTGTGCTGCAGAGTGGACGACATCGCTGCTGCCCGAGATGGTCAGTGGATCCGCGAACGGAACCGTCATGAGAATGGAATGAACATGGATTTTACAACATCTCCTTATACGGACTGGCGATCTAGAAGACCAGAATATTGCAGACTTTTGTGCCAGCGAAACGTATTTGCTCGCATCCTTGATTTTCGAGCTATGCTCGGGGAAGGATCGGAGATCTCACTGCAAGGCGGCACATGGGGTCCACGGAGCACTGCCTGCAAGCACAAGTGGAAATTGAACTTTGGTGGCTGCTTTCCTTCAACGCTGCCGCAAGGATAGCGAGCGTAAGTGAATGCCATGTTTAATCATTCTAAGGCAGGATGGCAGTAGTCAGCGGTGTGGTTACTGCGCGTGCAAGCACAGCTGCGAAGCAAAGCCGCGGCGATGCAGTCGTGGCATTGCGACAAGTATATTGTGTTTGGCGCAACAGCAAGCGACATGACTTTTTTTTGCACGGTCATTTTTCATTTACAACCGGCCTAGCCCAGGGTGGCGTGCAAATTGGCAACGCCTGCTGGGAACTCTTTTGCCTGGAGCATGGCATCCAGCCCGATGGTCAGATGCCGTCGGACAAGACCATCGGCGGGGGAGATGACGCATCCGGCCTGATATGCCAGCCTATGCTTGGCTGGCCTGGGGGTTAGCCAAAGGGTTCGTAACCTTACCCAGAAGGTTTTACAACGGGGCGCTTACCGCCTGCTACCTTCCACACCACCTAACTGAGCAACAGTAAATCTTTCTAGTTGTCTACTGTAGTTAATACAGAACATTGGGTACACTCACCATCATGTCATGGAGGAATGCAAATGATTGATTTCCGTAACAGATGTGGGGGGTTCTATTGCAAACAATCGGCGGCACTGGCGAAACATTAATCCAAAATGTGACTGACTGTGACCAGGACCATCCGTTGTTAAGCATTCTGACCGAAAGCACACTGTGAAGTTTTGACATCTAGTTTCTTAGGTTGACAGTCACCCCACAGGCACATTGGCCACTGAAGACTACTGCAGACCCATTTCTGGAATCCCTGGCCAGTAGCTCGTGAACCTGTGACACTTAGACATGCACCGATCTCAGGCATTTAACACCTTCTTCAGTGAGACTGGAGCAGGCAAACATGTGCCTCGTTGCGTCATGGTCGATCTCGAGCCGACTGTCGTGGATGAAGTGCGCACTGGCACCTACCGTCAGCTCTTCCACCCGGAGCAGCTCATCTCCGGCAAGGAAGACGCTGCAAACAATTTCGTCCCAATGCCCAATTCAGCGTCATTTGTGTTTTCCAATTTGTTGGTGTCACGTCATGGCCCCACCAAAAAGCGCGTCATTTGTGCATATCCGCACAAGCTTTGGATCGTTTGATTTGAGGCACGCGGGCACTACACCATCGGCAAGGAAATTGTCGATCTGGTTTTAGACCGAGACTCACTGGAGTTAGCAGAGCTCGAGTTTTGGTCTTGGCAGGAGTCGTCGGGTCGGTCATGATGTTTTTAGCCAACAACACTTCCCTTCAGTGCGGTTTCCACCGAAAACCTATTGGGTTTTGGAAGTTTGCATGACCTCGATGTGTGGAATACTTTGCAAAGCTCAGGCATCCGCAAGTTGGCCGATAACTGCACCGGATTGCAGGGTTTCTGCGTGTACAATGCCGTCGGCGGTGGCACAGGATCCGGCCTGGGCTGCTTGATGTTGGAGCGCTTGTCCGTGGACTATGGCAAAAAGAGCAAAATCTCCTTCACAGTTTGGTCCTGCCCACAGGTGGCCACTGCAGTGGTGGAACCATACAACACTGTTCTGTGCGTCCATTCTCTGCTCGAGCACACGGATGTGACAATCATGTATGTGCCTGGGCCGACATGATTGAAGGGAGCCATATATGACCCATGTACAGGTCAAATGAATAAAAGTTCGAGAAACCGCCAAGTTTCTCCTGATGTTGATAATGGTTTACTTTGTGCACACCTGTGCTATCGTCGAAACGATACAATGTTCAAACATGCGCAAGCAGTGGACCTTACCTGCCTGTTAAGATGTTTGTTTCATTGACATTCATTGACAACATGTTGCTTCTGGAAGTTGCATTGTTACACATTTTGTTTGTAGCCGTTTGGAGCGAGGACAACGAGGCGTTGTACGACATTTGTCGGAGGAACTTGGACATTGAGCGCCCGACCTACACGAATCTGAACCGGCTCATTGCTCAGATCATCAGCTCATTGACGGCGAGCTTGAGGTTCGACGGGGCTTTGAATGTGGACATCACGGAGTTCCAAACAAACCTTGCTTCTGGTCAATATTTGCCAACATTTGATAAATATGTCAATGTGGATTGGTGGCTGTAGGAAAGACTAAACTCCCTGGTTTAGGATTGAACTTGGAGCAAGGTTCCTTACCCACGAATCCACTTCATGCTCACCTCCTTCGCGCCCGTGATCTCTGCGGAGAAGGCATACCACGAGCAGCTCTCTGTGGCTGAGATCACCATGTCCGTGTTCGAGCCTGCCTCGATGATGGTCCCCCAATGTCAATCAATGACCTTTTAATCCTGAGGTGTCCTTTGTCAAGTGTTGTTATAATTCAATATGTTGAAGTTTGGATGCAAACAGTGTCGCAAGTGAGGTCAAGTGCGATCCTCGCCACGGCAAGTACATGGCTTGCTGCATGATGTAACTCGGCGCTCGTCAGAAGCCGGCTCGATTGCTTTTAGTGTATCGGCGCGTGTCTGTTTCTAGCATACCGCCTTTGTGTGTTGGCAGCTGTGTGACTGTACATGTCGTGATTGTGTGAACGCTCGCCTTTGCGTCTAAGCCCGCAAGTGTCGATGTGGTTGGCTTGATATGTTTGCCAGCTGATGCGATGTATGCTGCAGTGCGGAGCTGTGAGAATGGCGCATCAGGTACCGAGGTGATGTTGTGCCAAAGGACGTGAACGCGGCAGTCGCCACCATCAAGACCAAGCGCACCATTCAGTTTGTGGACTGGTGCCCGACTGGCTTCAAGTGCGGCATCAACTACCAGCCTCCTACAGTGGTGCCTGGGGGTGATTTGGCCAAGGTCATGCGTGCCTGCTGTATGATCTCAAACAGCACGGCCATCGCCGAAGTCTTTTCCCGCATTGACCACAAGTTCGATCTGATGTACAGCAAGCCCCTTGCCACACATTTAGACGAGTTCACGCCGATTCGTTCCTGCTACATTTCTCTTTGTTCTCAGTCGTCCCTCTTTGCGCATCGTGCTATGTCCCAGGGCATGTTAGGTGCAAGAACAAGGTTTAGACTTGTTTGGCTGATACTCTCGCAAAGTGAGTTGTATTGGCAAGCGATTCATCGCAGATGAGACTTTTGCTTGCTGCTTGTAACGAAGGCGCCTGAATCTTGCACGGACCAATGTTGACCTTGGTCCAGGCGCCCCCATTCAATGGAGCCTTTCAAAGAGGGTCACTTGTGATTTGACGGGTTATGTGTTGGAGCCCTTGCGCATTTCCACACTTTTCGGGGGATCCGGTTCGGTGTCATCCATTTTTTTCAACAGGGGGTTAGAGAGCATACTCTAGAGCGGCACCCGCCTAGTCCCCATACTTCGACAGGACGCGCTTAGGGCTGCAGCTGACATTTTACGTCCTTGAGCAGCTCTTTTTTCAGAGTATGTTTGTAACTTGGGGTTCCCTTTAAAAAGATGCTCCTGGCGTCTCATTTGAGCTAAGGGCAAGTAAGGCTGAGTTGTTTTCTTTTCGGCCGCTGTTTGTCACTTGATCGCCAAGGCGTGCGTTTGTCCACCACTACGTGGGGGAGGGCATGGAGGAGGGCGAGTTCTCCGAGGCTCGGGAAGATTTGGCGGCCCTGGAGAAGGAATCCCAGTTGCCAGTGGCACCGACTTTTCTTTTTTGCTTGGCAGGCTTTCCTTTGGGATCAAAACGGTTCTCCTGAGTTTTCCTGACTCTTTGGTGTGGGGGTCTATGCCAGGGCATTGATTATGGCCTTGCCAAAAGACAAGTAAGGACTACGAGGAGGTGGGCATCGAGACGGCCGAAGGGGAGGGCGAAGAGGAAGGCTCGTGCCCGGCTTGGGCAGTTTGCAGCGGGATACCCCGAAGCGGAAAGCTGGCGATGGGCGGTTTTGGTTTTCATAGGGTTGACAAGGTGACTGGAAGGGGACCGCTTTATGCAGTAAAGATCCAAGGCTTCAACATAAGTTTTGTTCGATCAACTCTTTATGTTTTCTGTGTTGGTTGGTTGTGGTTGCCGTGGGACTGAAGCAACAG